GAGCTAACTTGAGACGGTTCAATAGATGAATTTATAGCATGTAAGAAAAATTTCTTCTATCAAGTCTTCCACATTTCTTTGCACTTTAATATCCCATTTTGTATTTCATCTTCAATAAACAATATTTAAAAACAGAACAATGTTCTACTGTCAATTGTTTTACTGGAATATCATTTTTACATACGTGCACGGTTGTAGATGCCAAATACTTTTTGATTATATCATAATATCAGTAGTAATTCCTTCTCCACCTAAAATGTACTACAAAATTTCACAAGTGAAAATGTTCAATAAATTTTTATTGTTTGTTTAATATTTTCACTAATTCATAAGGTCTGATTGATGGATGAAACATTTCAACTCATAAAATTATTGCACTACATTCACAGACTCATGTACATAGTACATAAAATTATGTTCCATGTATATTTGGCACCGTGACCGGATATCCCACTGCTTTCTAGATTTAAATAATTAATTTTAGTCCTTTCAATTAATATAATACACATGTATACCACATTAAAAAAGTGTCCATTGCACCGACAGTTACAATATTTTAATACAAAATTCTAAACGTCCTTTTAGTCGTTGAAGAATCACTGAGTTTTACAAAAACACTCGACAGAGTATTACTTACAGTGCTTGAAGCTGCTGTCCTGAGATATCCTCCATTAGTCATTGGTTTTATTCCTTGTGAGCATATAATACTTTGCACAACTATACTCAATGGTTATTCGTTTAAGTTAACAATGAATCTCGATAGTTTCTAAGACAAATAAAGCTACTTTTCATTCATAATGAGAAAATGGTAATACCTTTACCAAGTAACATAAGATGTTTTTTTGGAATAAATAAATAGGTAAATACACACACAATATCGGAGACGAGAAAATTCGTGAAAATTGCAGAACACTTGAGTGAACTAACAATGAACCAAAGGGTCAAATAAATTAACATTTCGGTAGGTATAGGAAGAGTGTTACAATAATTTCTGGCATAATAATGAAATAGTGTTTCAAAATGAAGCAGATTACATATGGATGATGGTAGAAATTTGTCACATAAATTAATAATTCATGGTCTGTGCCGTCCAATTACTAGGAAAACAAAAATAGGAAATAAATGTTCACTTATGCACAAATTTTCAAGGATATTCGAAAGTAGGTGAGTATGTGATATGGTTTTACTTTCAACCCAATGTTATGACATCATAACAACAAAATTTGGAATGGAATTAAAAATATGTAAGCTTTATTTGTCAGTGTAGTAAATAGATCGAGATCAATGGATGCTTACCCTTTGTATAACAAAATGTCAATCTAATAAATTATATCCAATGGTTCATTGGCAGAATTGAAAACAAATCTTAACTAGCTAGTGGATTTATGGAATTTGATCTTTATGGAAAAAATTGATTGATTGATATATCGATAATGTAGTGTCGATTCATTCTTACATAGTTGCTCGCATGTGTTGAACCAATGACTTGCCAGGAAGAATACGAGACCACGAGAAGTATCTAGAGCGACTAAATCAGTGCATTCCATCTCTTCATTGGTCATAGCATAATTGGCTTTTTGCTAGTTTGGCAGATAAACGACCCTGGAGAGTGAAAAAAACATACTTTTCTGGTTTGTTTCCACATTGTTCTGGGTTTGAGATTGTTTCTATAACACAAGGTAATGTTTGGAGTTTCAAGTTAAACAGTAAAGTGACTCAAAAACTGAAAAACGGTAATCATTTTTCTCTTCCAGTGTTGACCATCTGTCAAACTTACACATGAACCAGCAGAATTGAGGTTATGAGTAATCTTTTGTAAAAATACTGTGGATAAAAATTTGGAGATATTTTTCTCGATCATTCTCACAATGAGTCTTGAGATGATGGAATGCAAGCTGATATTCATCTTCTTGTAGACAAAGATTTAATAACACATTCAGTACTAAATACGCCTTAGTTTCACCGCCCTTTATGGAACACAAGGGAGAGAAAAAAACATCGATACCACCAAACGAGGATAAGTATGCATTCTTCCTCAATCGACTGATCTTTTTTATCTATGTGTGACTCTTCGATAGTTGTCACGTGACTGAGGGCAGAACTCTTCGCGTCTCCCTCTCATGTTTCAACTTTCCTTTCTTTCTCTTTCTCTCTAGGCACGATCTACATCTTTTCCAGAAATCGTCAAGTTGATTCCAAAATAAATCGTGCGTATTATGTCAGCAAGCTTTCATCATATTCAGAATAGTTAAATCAGTTACAAAAAGCATCAATTAGCCAATTAAACATCAGAATTTGTCAATTATAATTTGAATAACTTCATTTAACTTCAAATATTCAAAGCTACATTGACTCTCTCAATCGTCATGAGTTTCAATAATAAGTTAATCAAAGAAGACTTGATTTATTTAGAAAAATAAAGTTCACTTCATGAAGCTCACTCTTTGGGGGCACTGATGAACACCCTATGTATACTTTCTATACTCAAAAATCCATCTTCATGAATCTGAAATAAAAATTTCGCTTTCTTAAATTCGAGCGACATTTTCTGAATTTCTAGAATACTGATGACAAATTCAGAATTTAAAAGAGGAGTTCAGCTAGCTTCAACATGAAGAAAATATGTCTTCCCGATCTGTCCATGTCTTCAGTGTTTCAACGATAAATAATGAAGATTTTGTGATGGCAACAATTGGAATGTAAAAAAAATAGAAGGAGGCCATATTTACTTCAATATGAAAACTTTTAGGATGGTCTTCCTCTCCATTTCTCCCCATTTCTAGTATTGCAAAAAATTTAGAAGAATACCATATCAACTTCAATATGAAAAATATTAGAATAAGTTGCGTGCAAGAACTGTCAGATGACCGAACCTGAAGGTCAAACATTGAAACAGAACCTCACTTTTCTTATTTGTTCACAAGTGATTGAAATTCACAATTATTTTCGTGTTTTTCGGCTATTCTTCAATTCGCGCATGCCATCACATTGTGCTGTTGTACAATGCACATAAAATGCAGCGAGAGACGAAGGAATCCGGTAGGTACATTATGATTTGAAAGTAAGTACCTACTATAGTCACATATAGTTTTCATTTTGAAATTTGGTAATTTCTCTGATTTCTCATCGGAATTCCTTCTGCAATAGGAGCTAATAGAAATACTCCTGAAATTTCTAAAAGAATGCAAGAAGATTGGATTAATGCAATCAAACGGCAGGACTGGTTTGACATGCCGACGAAATATGATCGTGTGTGTTGTATACATTTTCATTAGCAGTATTAGCTTCTATTGCAGAAGTGGCAAAAGGAATTTGAATTTTTTGTGCATTGTACAACAGCACAATGAAAAGGCATGCTTGAATTAATGAATAGCGCAAAAAACACGATTCCCATGACAAAATATTGTGAAAAACTATTTCAATCCTTTGATTCCTCTGTAAACGAATAAAAAAAGTGAGGTTGTATTTCGAAGGTTTACAGAAGAGTGAGGTTGTGTTTCAATATTTTACCTCCAGGGTCAGTCATCGTGCACGCGACCAATGGTCTTGTTATCGATGTCTTCCCATTTCGAGTATTGCAACACAACAAGGACATAATGGAAAGACATACTTATTCTATCCTAGCTGAACTTCTCTATTGTTTTTGTGAAATATTAACTACTGATGATAACTTCTGGAAAAGGTGTATATATTATTAAATCTTCGTCATGTGGATGCGCAATTTTCTCGCGGTTCTCATATTATTCTCCTAGGACACACAATGAACTCAATATAAACAACTGGAAGGAAGACGGCCGTTCTCTCGAATAGCACAAAGTGTGTCAGGGGCAGCTGCAGCAAAGATAACATGATTTACGGTAACCTGTCTCTTTCCTACTCGTGTTGTTTAATGGTGGACTGGTGTTTCCGTTTTCTTTTATCTATTAATTGAAGTACTTTAGATTTTTTTCTCCCATCTAAACAGGCAAGAAAGTGAATACAAAAGTTCATTGTCTTTGTTTATGTAAAATATCTCTTCATTTGGTCACAATGGTGATTTATTTTGTCGCCTTTGGATGCAAGAACGAGCAAGACAAAAGGAAATTGTCATTCCATGGGTTAGTTGAATATTGTTCAAATTTTTGGAAAATATAGTTCTTGAAATGATCATCAGTTAGGTGTACAATGTTCCCAGTCTCAGAATATGTTCAAAAACTATACCTATATTATTTGTCAAAGTTAAATACTTCCATGACTTTTTCATAAACATGTTAAGTAATATTATTTGTTGCAGTTTTCCATTCAGACATTCTTGAATTATGGATTAAGGCAGTTCGTAGAGAGAGTTGGACTTCATCTAAAACCAGTAGGAAGTTCATAACTTGGGTCCTAAGGAAGATGTTTCTCATATTGTCTACTTAACCTATGACTTCCAGCTCCCAAGTTTCGAAATTCATCAATAAAGAAACCCAAACTGTTCCTTTGGAGAAGGATATTGTATTGAGAATTGTATTTTTTTAATTTCTAATAGGGATATGTTCGTAGAGAGTGACCTAATGGTAAAATAGGAACCTATGGAAATTATGCTCAAAATGGCCCATGTAGGTAGTCCATACCATTCAAGAACCTCTTTTGAAATTTTTCCTATCGTTTTTCTTTTTCTTCTGATAGTGCTAAGACATTGTGCTTCGCTCACCCTGTACAATATAATGTGACATTTGAATGAAAATATAAAATTTCAATTTTTTATTCATTTGACTTCCTAATCCTGTAAGAATAAAAGTGAATAATCATTTTTGAGTCAATAAAAAAATTAATAATAATTTTTTAATGATAATTGATTGCAACGTTTTCCTTTTTTCTACATGAATATTTTTATTTAATCATGTTTATTCTTAAATAAAAGCAAAAATCCAGAAAATATTTCAAATAATGCGAGCGCTTCCCATTAGCGAACATAAGATAGAGAGAGACAGGTATCCGTAAGCACTGCGGGTTGCCTGAACAATATTTCTGCCTCACTCGTCGTTCACAGAGGGTCCCTTCCAGTTGTTTATATTGAGTTCATTGAGGACACTGCAGCAGCCTAAGATGGCGGCGTTGCGGAAACAACCGGCGTCGCGCATTCCCGAGCGAATTGAAACGAAGGTGACCTAGGCGGGGACGTGTGGTCAGACAGCGGGCGGCTGTCTCGACCGCCCGGGCGGGGCAGTCTGGGCGGGCTGGGCAGGCTGGGCGGGCCCTCTCTTGCCGCCCGTGAATATCTTAACAGTCCTTTGTAGAAAATCAGTCTTTTGGGCCTGGTGACCGGTGGCGGTCGGCTTGGAGGTGGACGACATGGAGTGGCAGCGGACCACCAGGGGGCCGGAGCCGGACGACCAGTCGCTGCAGGAGGAGGAGGAGGATGAGGAGGATGAGGAGGAGGAGGGAAGCACGCCCGCCGAGCTGGACCGGTACGGGGGCGGCGATTCGCTCTCCAATACTGTGCGATTGGGGGGCGGTCGGATGCACTTTTGGTAGATTTCGGATTCCTGGAAGAAATAAAAGGAAACATTATTCAATGAATTCAACACAGCTGTCAATGAAACACAGCTATATTCACATTGAATGAAAAAAGAGTTCATGATTGTGGCGACCAGAGAATACATCTATAACGAAATATTTAGTGGATTGAAGTTTCAAGAAGAACTATTTACATCGAAATGAAGTAACAAGCATGAAAACAAAGTTTGTCGATGAGGGAGCATTAAACATAACTTATTTTATCATGGAATTGGAAACAAGGTCAATTACAGGGCAATTCTGCATAAATAGCCATTTAATCAGAATAAGAAAGACTTAATAACATTTTTCTACATTCATGCAAAAAACAGAACTTTATTGAACTATATTTAGTGGAAAAAGAAGTTCTTTATTGCACTTAGTGCAATAAAGTTTTTATTGCACTCATCTGTCATTCTACTTCAACGTGCTGTCATCATGACAAACATTTTCTATAATGCAACTGTGGTTATAGAAACGTCAGTCAAAAATTAATTCTGACAATTAACAGAATTGTACCTAGTGCCGCACCTCAATAAATCATTTTTTGCTTTTTGCATGAACGTAGAAAAAATGTTGTATGCAACTCGTGCAAAAATTGTTTATTGCACTCGACGTGTCGTCCACTCGGCCTAACGGCCTCGCCGGACAATTTCACGTCGAATGCAATAAACATTCACTTTTTGCACTTGTTGCATAAATAACTATTAGATATTCCTTTCAATATATATGAGGTATAAACATGCTTACATTATTATTCATATTCGGGAGAATTAGTGCGAAACTAGTGAGGGAATAAATGGGAGAATACATTTCTGAGAACAATAATCTATCTACGTTCCATATTGTTTCCGTCTATGTTCAACTAATTCTGAGTGAATTACAAATTTCGAAATTAACCAGTCTCCGTTCATAACGACAGTTCTAGGAAACATGCATCAGTGCACCAAACCATACATCTAAAAATAGAAATTGATTGGTGTGATCAATCATTCCCAAATTAATTGCATCCAAGTAGTCGGTGATATCAATCACCTCCTGAGAAACTTACATAATAAAGATCAAAGAACCAATAAATTCGATGACTGATACACGTTATATCAACTTTAATCAAGCAGTTACATTCAAGTAAACAAGGAAGATATTTCAAAAAATTGGGAGAGTGCATCAATATCAACATAAATTATTTGTAAACATCACAAAGTGGTGGAATGAAATCGAAATATCAGTGATATAAAACTATTAGAGTAAAGTTGGGGACTATGGAATATATCCGGTAATATGGAATACCCTATTTTTGACAGAACCACAATCGCTATCTATTCCAATTTCCACAGGTGTGTTTATTCAATAGATAAGTAACGATCGTTTCTGACAGTTCTAATAGTTGATGGAATTTCAGTGCTCACGAAATTTTTAGGCGAGTTTATTAAATTTATAGTTCAAACACATTTGGAAATGATTTCATCTCATACTAATGTTTAGTTGAGTAGATGAATGATGTATGAACGGTCCAATGTAGAGATAGCGCTCATTCAAGATAATTTGTGTTTTCTTAACTATTCAACATCCGAAGTAATATAGGCGGCAATTATGGAATAGTATTCCATATTACCCAACTTAATTATTGAATACTTCAAACAATTGGCAAAATGAAGAATAATACGAACCAAAACTACACAAAGAAAGAAGTGGAATTAGGAAGATGAAAAAAGCGCAGCGATAGCAGTTAGAAGCAGAAGAATGGATTATACTGCCTGCCGTTTTAATAATAATATATGGAAGTTCAAACAAACTGAAGCGCTGATAATTGATAGCATGCAATCCGCAGCGGCCGAAAGGGCTCAAAAAAGTTACGAAGAACTGAATAATAAATACTGACATTATAGTTGAATATACACAATTGATAGTATCATATGGGTATGAGAGATCAAAGATTCGGAAACAGTTACCATCATAGAGTACACATACTCCGAGACATAATCTTTTCTAATTTAAAAACTAATTAGTATAGGTACGGGACTTATACACAAAGACTTCGAGAGCAGACACAATGGATCGTAAAATGTCACGTGGTATAGACTGAAGTCCCTATCAAATCTATTCTAATTCTACTATATAGGACGATTCCCTACTATAAACTAGACTAACGCCATCCCACGCAACGCTTTCTATCAGCACGTCTGGTTCTATATTAAAATACAGAAGAGTGGATGTGTCAACAAATCCAACAGTTGTTAGAAAACCGCCATGAATGATATTTACATAATGAGTTTATTTTTCAGGATAGGCGAAGGAGTTTGCTGGCGTCTAGACAGAGCCTTATCGATTTCAGGCTATTCTCATGTTGAAATTTCTTGTCCATGAAAATCGAGGCTGCCCACTATCTTATGTAAATTCAAAATATGGGATTTGAATGAGCACATGTATGTGATATTGAACGTGAATTTCGTGATCATATGCGTATGTATTGCCATTGCCGTTTCCAAGAGTCATGACGAAAAAGTCTGAAACTTGAAGCTATGATGGTTCCACAATCGGTTATACTTCTCCAAACAAAATACAGCCATGAATAATTGATTTACGAGCTATGAACACTCATGCATAGGTAGGTTATAGTCGTCAAATTTAGATATTACTATTATTACATTATTTATATTTGCTTTTTGGATGTATGACAAATTATATGGAAATAACAAGTTTGAGTTTCCATCGCTCAAGTTTTTTGTCTCCCGGGGAGAGACGAAAAACCGTGAGCTAAGATCTAATATTTTTTCCGTGTGTAATACACTTTTTTTTGTGACAGAAGAAAGGACGAATCAATATTGAGAAGATATTACATTATTTTGAAATCTGAAAATTAGCGACGTGAAATGTTGAGTTTTTAACAGTAGGGACACCTGCGTTGTAGGCATCTTTATCATTATTTGAAGTAATCAAATATCTGATGTCACTTCTGTCAGTCTAATTCAGTGATTTGATTTCAAAAAATTGCGAATTTAGTGGTTGTTTAGTAATATACGTAACCGCGAAGTCGAATGGAAGATAAAAGGACTTTCAGTTCTTTCTCGGAGACGGTATTATTGGCTCATTTTTCGGAACCATAGCACAACAAAAGCCATCAACAGTATATATTATGTATATATATATATATATGTGATATATATCCGGGAAAAAGTCCTCACTTTTTTCCACGGGAAAAAGTGATTTATGAAAAGTGACATTTTATAACCTGCCAACAGAGATGAAATGCTAAACTTTTTTCCAGTCACAGAAAAAATATTATAAGTTACTGCATTACTGGTATTTACTGGTATTATTTTATCCGATTCGAGAGAGACTGTCAATTCCCAATTGCAGAGGATTTTCATCTTTCATGCTCCTCTTCTGGATGTTCAACAGATATAATTCAATGTTCGACGTGGCAAATAGCCAGGAATGTTTTCTGTTGAATATTCAGAATGATATTGTGATTGTGTGCATATACATATTTTTATCTGAAGGAGAATGCAATTTCAGAAGATTTGTTTCCAAGTTCTTATCGTGTGTGTTCAATATCTATGTTCGTCGTGGCATATAGACAGAAAAGTAGTTGTTTTTTGTTGAATAAACCGAGAATGAATTGATATTTTCATCACATAGAGAATGCGAATTCTCAATGTATTTCTTTACATATATATAAATTTTTTTATGTTCATAATTTTATCTGAGAATATTCCTTTTCAATATTATGAATTGATATTTTTATCACATAGAGAATGCGAATTCTCTATGTATTTCTTTACATATATATCAATTTTTTTATGTTCATAATTTAATCTGAGAATATTCCTTTTCAATATCATTTATATCTGTTCAAAATGGGCATTGAGCGAACAAAACAGAGAATTTCGATCAGATTTATTTCAGAATTCGCAGTAGTCGAAGTATCTATAGCTAAAAGGTTTCTGTTTTCTTAACAGAACCATAACAGAACTAACCGGAATCGAATGATGATACGTTGGTTAAAAACTAGCAAAGAAGCTTCTGAGAAATTGTTGCCATAATGCGAGATGAATCTTGAATAAATACTGTATTTAGTCTGCTACCTCTGTAGATTGAAGCTCAGTCTTTGTAAAGAGTTCAAGGAATATGGCATTATCTGTATTCTTCTAGATTTTCTCTTCCTTTATCCACCTACAGAATGAATCTATCAAAATCGAGTCTCCAGAGGCGTACACATTATTTTCTGAAGAATTTACCTGTGTGTCTATCTATGTCAGATGTTTTCTTGACAGGAGTAAAAAATTTGAATTCTGGCATGATGATAGGTTTTTGCGGGTTTCTGTGATGCCCACATATTCAAAAATTAAATAATTTTCAATTTTTTTTTCAAATTTCTGATGGGTGAGTTGTTGGTGTGGGGTATTGTTTAAAAGAGCCATTTAGATAGATGCATATTTCAAAACTAGAAAAATCACCGTTCTTCCTCTAATCTTCTAGGTTTATGAAGTCAACATTCTTTCATCGTTAAAGTTTGTTAGAAGGTAATAATGAGTCATAGATAACAAACAGGAAGACTGCAACTGTGCCCACCGTATATTTGGGAGACGACTTTTACTGATGTTGTATTTGTTGTACAATCCCTGAGGACTCTTTTTATTATAGCAACAGCACTAAGTATAATAATTTGATTTTCTTTCGATACAAAAGAAGCTATAAGCATCGATCGAAGACTCCCTTAATCTATGAGCTAAGTAAAATGTAGTAGACAAAAGTAGAGCACAGAAGAATTGAAGTAGATTAGAGTACAGTTGTGTAGAGCAGAATTGAGAAGCATAGAAGAGTAGAATGGAATAGAGCTGATCAATGTAGATTAAAGAGAGTACAGAAAAGCATAGAGTTGAAGAATGGTGGACTTGTAGACTTGTTGTATAATAGAGTATAGTATTACTGAAATATAGTAGATTGTGATACATAGAGTAGAATCGAGTACTGTAGAAGGTAAGATAAGGGTAGAGTAAGAGTAGACTATGGTAGAGTCTAGGCCTAGGCCAACCTAGGGCGAGACCTAGCGAGTAAATCACAGGACAAAATCGGGTACACTTTACTAAGTCAAAAAAATTGCTGGAATTCGTGGGACTACCCGGACTTTCTAAAAACTACCCTGTTTTCCAAAAACAACCCGGACTAATCAAGGAATTCCCAGAATTCTCAAATAACTCGCAGACTTCTTATTCACAAAGACTATCCAAACAAGGCAAAAAGTCGAAAGGCCAAAGGCCAAAGGCAAGAGGCAAGTGGCAAGAGACAAGAGACAAGAGACAAGAGACAAGAGGCAAGGGGCAAATGACAAGAGGCAAATGACAAGAGGCAAGGCAAGAGGCAAGGCAAGAGGCAAGGCAAGAGGCAAGGCAAGAGGCAAGGCAAGAGGCAAGGCAAGAGGCAGGGCAAGAGGCAAGGCAAGAGGCAAGGCAAGAGGCAAGGCAAGAGGCAGGGCAAGAGGCAAGGCAAGAGGCAGGGCAAGAGGCAAGGCAAGAGGCAAGGCAAGAGAAGAGGCAAGGCAAGAAGCAAGGCAAGAGGCAAGGCAAGAGGCAAGGCAAGAGGCAAGGCAAGAGGCAAGGCAAGAGGCAAGGCAAGAGGCAAGGCAAGAGGCAAGGCAAGAGGCAAGGCAAGAGGCAAGGCAAGAGGCAAGGCAAGGCAAGAGGCAATGCATGTCCGATTAGAGTGAATTTAGCTGGATTAGAGTGTCATGAAGTGAGGTATACACATGATATCCCTACCTGTTCGTGATCCCTGAGATGCAGCCTAGCTTGGGAGGCGGAATAGTGCCGTTCCTGCCTCTGCTCGTGCTGGTGGTGGTGGTGCTGATGGTGGTGGTGGAGGCGGTCCTCGCCGTCGGGCAGCGAGATGCGGGGCGGCAGATCGACGGCCAGGTCGGTGCGCACCGAGTGCAGGCGCACCTGGCGGTCGCGCGCCGCCGCTAGTTCGCGTGCCGACCTGCCGCCGCTGCCGCCGCCACTGCGCAGTCGCTCCATGCCGCCCATGCCTGCCGCGGCGCCGGCGCTCACAACCGACAGCATCTGCAATGGAGGAGATCGTTGGTGACAGACATCGAGGAATGTGATTTTTTTTTAACACAGGGTGAGTCAATAGTGTCTTCGATATTAGCCAAACCGTCAGATATATAGGAAAAATGTGTATACAACATCAATAGGGTGTTCGAATTTCCAGATATCGGGTGATGATGGGTTTATTTGAAAGGGGCACCCTATACAAGGTGGGTCACGGTGGATAGCCTATCAGAACTATCTGGAGAATGAAGAGACAGAACATTCTGAAAAACGGGGTGCTTTGATAATTGAACATTCTTTATCCGTCTAAAATGTTTTCATCGATACAGTGTTGCCACTTTTATCAGAAACAACTAGCAACTTCGTTATTTCGAATGGAACACCCTGTATTATATTGCATTTTTAGATTCTTCCTGAGGAGCTGATTTCATCGATGTATCATACATGGGGTCAAGCAGAAATGATTACAGAGATATAGGGTATTCAAAATCTAGATTTTTCAATTTTAGAATTTCTTCGTGTCCAAAACTATTCATTATTGATCAAAACGGCGTACATGTCCCTATTTTAACTTTTGATTCACTATCTACTGGAATTTAATTCGAAAAAATACAGGGTGCTTCAAGATTCAGAATTCTGATCACCCTGTATGAACATTATAGGGATTCCTTTTCGTGCGCTCCAAGCGATAAAAAAATATGAGTAGATAGTGGATCGAAAGTTAAGATGGGGACATGTGAACCGTTTTGATCGATAATGAATAGTTTCGATACAAAAAAAATCCCAAAATTGAAAAATTTTGCAAACCCTATATCTCTGTAATCATTCCTGCTAGACCCCAAGTGTGATGCATTAATAAAATCAGCTCTTTAGGGAGAATCCGAAAATGCAATAAAATACAGGGTGCTCCATTTGAAATAACGAAGTGGCTAGTTGTTTCTGATAGAAGTGGCAACACAGTATTAATGAAAACATTGTAGACGAATAGAGAATGTTCAATTATCCAAGCATCCTAATTTTCAGAATGTTCTGTTTTTCGTTCTCCAGATACTTCTAATAGGCCATCCACCGTGACCCACCCTGTATATTATTCCATTTTTAGTTTTTTCCTGAAGAGCTGATTTCATCAATGCATCACACTTGGGGTATAGCAGGAATGATTATAGAGATATATAGTGTTCAAAATCGAGGTTTCTCAAAATTTAAGATTTTTTTCTGACGAAACTATTCATCATTGGTCGAAACGGCTTACATGTCCCTATCTTGGTATTTCCTGAATTTTCACATAGTCCCTTGAAATAATATGTTGAATTTCTCTAAAATCAATTCAGAATTTCTTGATTTTGCCAAAATTTCTTCGAATTTCCAAGTAAATTATTCATTTTTTCCTCGGTTTTTTCATACCTACATGTATATACCTTTAGAATTTTCGATGGTATGTTTATATTGGAGAATTTTACAGAATACCTCAAGACCATCATTCATCTCAAAACAAGATTTTGATTAGTGAATGACAAAATTCCTTTGAATTTCTTGTTTTTCAGATATTTTTCAAAACACTTCGAAAGTTTCTATAAATCCATGAAATTCCTAGTTTCGTTGAATTTGAAACTGGCCAGATAAAATACATTCTACGTATGCCCACAAAATTTTCCTAAAAGACTATTCTAATGGAAAGGACGTATTGAAAACCTTCCTGGAAGGAACATGAGAGAACAAAACAGGATTTCAACACTAGGAGGTTAAGTTTCACTATTCAATTGAATTTTGGATTTTGATACAATGATTTTTTCGAAATAATCCTAACGAAATAATTTGAAGATTCAGCGCATTACAACCGCTTAAAAAATACGATGGTATTCTTATTCATTCATGTGACTTTATGTGGGCAACATAATTTGGAACTAACCAATCAGTAAATGATTTAGGTCTCCAGGAAATCATTAGCAACACGTCTGTCGTTTTACATTATTTGCATTGTTGCATCGGAGAAATATTCCACAGAATTACACGAAAAAAACATGTCTGCAGAAAAGTAATGAATTCATTATAATTATTAATCACGCGACCTTGTCTGACTGTCATTAAAATTGATGAATGACATCCAATTACACTGAGGCCTCTCAAAATGTAAGTACCAAGCTGATCTAATTAGTGAATATGGATATATCATTTCAAGGGTAAACATGATTGTGATCTCACTTCATCCGGATGTGATCATGATAACTTTTTCGTGTGGACTTATTGTGTGTTACAATTTGAGATTTTGTATTTTGCTCGGTATTTTGGTTGTAAAGTCAACAGGAATCGAGAAAATCGTGAAAAATATCTGGGGTAGCCACCATTTCACAGTATTTCAAAGTATTCCCTAGCATTTCGAAGTATTTCACAATATTCCAAAATTCCAAGGTATTTGACAGGTATTTCAAAGATTTTGACATGCTTGCTCTTCAAAGAATTTCACAGGTATCACAAAGAATTTCACATGATGCATTTAAAATAATTTCACAGACATTTAAGAAAATTTCTCAGGTATTTCAAAGTATTTCAAAGTTTTATTTCTACAGAATTATAAAAAATTACCTAATTTCGAACAGCATGAAAGCACAATACAACAGTACTTTTTGGGATATAGTCAAGGATATAGTAGTCAACAAGTTAATTTTTTTATGATGAACTTCATTACAACTCGTTGTAATTTTCGAAAAATTCATGTACTCAAAAAGTGTCAGGCAATAATTCATGTCCTAGGTAAATCAAAAGTGAAAACTCATGTACTCAATATATTTTCGGCAACAATTCATGCACTAGGGAGATAGTGACAATGCATCATGAAATTTTTGTTAAACAAAAAACAAAATGGCGGCTCCAAAATGGTGGACGAGTTTTAAAATTATGATCCGATTCTATTCAAGATGGTATCTGGGGGTTCTCGAGGTCGCAGATTATGGATGGGATGGAACTCATAGTGAGGTTACCGCAATATAGATATATTATTAATTTGATATTCAAATTAAATGAAAATGAAATCAAATAAAAAGGTTTTCTTTCGGTATGGATAAATTTGAAAGTGTGAATAAGAATCTCTCTATGGTAGAGCAGTCACATTATGAAAATGGTATAGATCTAGCACCTGGCAACAATGTATTGTTTCAAAAAACAGCATTTCAATGCCCTAAAATTCCATGAAAGGTTTGAACATAGCGTTCGGTCACAGTGGCGCAAGTAATGACGTGGTAATCCCTTTTTCCTGTGTTGCCAGCTGTTTTATTTCAAGGAAATATCAAGTAAATATTTCCCAATAATTTAGAATCGATCCTATTGTGAACTGGTGAGATAATTTGATATACATTGATAAAGTAAATGTCATCAGTATGAACTGTATGGTATAGGTTTTTCCTTCATTTCTAATTCTTCAAGCTGTCAAGCTGACATGGTTCGTAATTGAGTAGGTTGTAGCACGTTGTAGGTTGGATCAACAGCGACGAAATTTGGTCTACTACTCAATTTATTATTCGTTTGAACATAGGTTCATAAAACAATCTAACTGAACGATTCTGGTATACTTTTTAATGAACCCCAAATTCTGGTGACATCACATCAAGATCTATGTCATAACATGCCACAATCCAGTGTATAGGAAAACAACAACAAGTGAATTATCCAAAGAAGCAGGAAAAAAATCGGTTGAAACGACAAAGCTGTTCATCTCACTGAATAGTAAATTTATTTTGAGGAATACAAAATTTCAAAAAAATCTCTATGCATTTACTCATCGCGATAAACGCCATAGTATTTTTACTAGAAATGAGTGTTCTTGCCTATTATGAAGATGAGAACATAGAACTCCGAGGAATGTCTCTATAGAGCGACAGCGTCACAGACAACAAAGAAATGAGATAAGGAATAAAGTTGCGATCCCGATTGCTTTCTTCAATTATGTGTTTATGTTCATCTCGCTGTTCATTGCTTTCCACATAAGAAAACAGTAGTCTCTCAAGCCTTATTATGTTCGTTCACCTCACCAAACACCCAATACACTTATAGTCAGGGAGCTAGCTGCCATTTTCTTACATGATTTGCAAACGTATCACATAATTATAATAATAATAATAACACTTCATTTCCACTTCGACAAATAACATTGTATGGGGATTGTCAATATAATATGAATCAGTAGAAGAAAATGACAAAAGAGTTAGATAGAGAAGAGAAAATAGTAATAGAATATAATCGGTAATACCTAAAAGTATTCCTATTCTAAAAATTCAGAAATTGTATAAAAACATACTTCCAGTAAATAGTCTTTCAAAATCTTTTTGAACATAATGATGTGTTTCACAGACCTCAAATCTTCAGGAAGTTTATTGAATATTCTAGGTCCAATGCAGTCCGAGGCAGATGAATTCACTTTACATCTTGCTAACGACAAATGGAAGTGATTCTTAATTCTTGTGTTATGGTTATGTAAATTCTGATTCATTGTAAAAGTTAATCTGAACACTTCCATTGTAGCAGTTGATCCACCCCAAAAACTGACATCATACCTCAATCTAAATTCTATTTGAGCGAATAATATGTTAAGTAATTGATCCTTACTGAAAACTGATCAGAGATTGATGAAAAGGAACCTCAGAGAGTTGAGCTTAGATGTTAATGTCAAACTCATCAAGAAAAATACCTAAGAAAATCACAGTCTGATCAGTGTTCCTCAATGTCATGCTATTAACAGTGAAACAAATATCTTCTATTTTGTTTTGAATATTGTGAATACGTACAATCTCTGTTTTATCGACATTAAAAAATAAATCAGGGTTGTTGAGGAAATCTGATATCTGACTTACTGAGCCAGCACATTCATTTTCTAATATTTTGGAATCACGCGCAGAGATTACAAATGAAAAATCATCGATGGATTGAAGTTAAGATCAATACGAATCGATTTGGTCTAGTCAATTAAGGTCTTTCGTTGCTGCGTTTTTGCGTTACAGCGCTTTGAATTTGTTTAA